ACGATGACCTCTTTCATAATTAATTAATCAGCCACTGCATAGTAATTAGTCAATGGATTTTGGTCGATAAAGCTTCACAATAACAGAGCAGCTAATGGCCTTGCGATCTATATTTTTATTTTCATTTCAACTCGCGAATACTTTGACTTCAGTTTGTTTCACTTGTCGATGCCTTCTCCCCCATGAAACCACCGTTTTCTGTAAATGTACACATACTTTTCCCAAACAATGATGCAGAAGGACACCAAAATTATGTTATAACAAGACACAAAGCCCGAAAGAGCCAGATCTGCTCTGTGTTATTTGATTTAGGGCTTGAACATGCTGTGTAATCTAGAACATTTAAGGATTACATGGGTTTTATGTCTTCTTTGAGGTTAGCTGTACACTTAAAAACTCTTAGTTCAGAATCTGTTCAAGGCTAAAGTTTACTTTTGTGTGCATGTGTTAGTGAGTTTGTGTGTGTGTGTGTGTGTTTTATATGGAAGCTTGATTCTGCCCTCCATGTTGATTTGCGAGAAGCCACTAGAGGACCAGCTCAAGGACGCAAACGCGCACAGGTACCTCAAGTTTAATGTAATATTATGTCACTACAGAGGCCTTAATTTAGTCGTGTTCACCTTGAGGTTCCAAAATCAAAGCCTGGCCCTCCCGAAAGCTATCTAACTGCTAGATAATGCAAAACATATTCATGCACTTTGCAATTCTTACTGCAGGCTCTATCAGAAACCACAATCAGTTCAAATATCTTAGATGCACCTTTGGTTAATGTCAGTGCATCACATTTGCCACTTGTATCACACCTGCCACGAAGTGCACTGGTGTGTTTGCATTTCTCATAGTGATATATAGATCCTGCTATATACTCATACAGTAGCTTTAGCAAGTGATGTTAAGGCATAAATTACACAGTTTGTTCTCTGGCGTTGAAACAATGGCCCTGCTTGACAAAGCAAAGATAAGAAGGACAGCATTTTGATTTTGGCATGTGCACCCTCTAATTAAGATGTGGTTTTCAGAGCTTGCAAAAGAGAACAGAATGTGATGTAAAGTGAGGTAAAGATAAGACATAAATCCGGTTGTTTTGCCATGTTGCTTGAAAGGCTCAGTATTAACCACAGACTGTAAAGCTGCATGCCACTGGGCCCTGTGTGACAGTGCTCTAAAGGAAGTCTCAGTGGCTTTTCAAGAGGTGCACGCGTTAATTACAGCACGCTGCTGCTGTTGCGCTACGTGTGACAGGTAGTATCAGGCCGCTGAGACTCGATCGTTTCGTCTAGCTCCTGACTAACCCAGCTGCCCCTGCCCAAAGAGAGAGTGAGAGAGAGAGAGAGGAAGGGGAAGAGGGAGACGGGGGTCTGGGACAAGGAGCCACCACCGTGTTTGCTGTCAGGCCTACATGCTGTGGGCCACGACTCAATGGCACTGATCCAAATAGGTGAGACATTAGCATTTCTAACAGAGGAAAGATAGGCAGTGAAACTTTGCAGGGCATCCTACAAATGCAGATAACGGAGACATGCTTCGCTGAAGAAATATTGAGAGGCAGAACACTGAAACCTGAAATATGCTGTAGATTTATGAAGTGGGGTGTTTTAAATTTGCTTCTAGGTACAGCTATAAAAGAATAACCACATGAAAATATGAAGAAGCGAATTGCGCATAACATTCTTTTCTGCTTTCTTCTGAATTAAAACGACAGTGTATGCATTTTGACAAAATGCCCCCCAAATGTGCTAGCTGCTCTGCAAATTTGGTTCAGAGGCTTTTTTCAGATATGCATTAAGCATGGCAATGTTTAAGAGCAGATGTATTTAGATTGTAATGACTTTGTTTCATTTCAGATAAGGCTTTTGGCTTGGAGTTTCTGCTAATTATACTGTGGAAAATATGCACTTTACTGATAACTGTTCGTAGTGTTGCCTGTCTTAAAGTATTCCCAGTATCAAATTTATTTATTAATGTATTCATTTCTTAATTTATTTATAGATGCTCTTTAAAATATTGCAGACTGTGCGTGTTATTGTTTGTGGGTGTATTTTTGTCAGGTGTCTTAATTCACATTTAAACTTCATACTTTGCCTCTGCAGAAGTGAGTGTTTGTGTGTGTGTGACACCTCTTTAACCATATGAAATGTCCTTTTTAATCAGAAAAAAAAATAAATGACTTGGGAGCAAGGAAGGCATATTAATGCACTTAATTTGCATACAGTCGTCAGGCGAGGCTATGTTCAAAAACAAACTGGATTTGTCAGTTCATTTCACATTGTGTCTTTGTCTATCTGCTTTTGTTATATGGTAAAGATAAAGAAGGAAATCAAATTGAAGAAAAGGGCAAGCAGTTATCTCTCCAAATGAGCAACTGCTCATCATGCCTCGCTTAAATCATAGATTTCTATTGCAGAAGGCATGCTGGCCACATTCAAAAAGGGCCTCGTCTGATATCTGCCAGAATTTGCTGCGACATTGACAAAAGCAATTTGAACAACTCGCTACCCATAAGAATCTCCAAAGTCATAAGGCGTTGCACTAAACCCAAATATCACCCAGCTTTTTTAGGCCTTTGTCTGAGGACCATTGCTTTAATCACATGACCTGGCAGAGCGAACCATCCATGATTTATATTTGTCTTGCATTCACTCCTGTATTACATTTTGCTGAATATCAAAAATCTCGCAGAACTGCTTAGCCATGTGTAATTTGCAGCGCACGTGCTTACACGCGTGAGTGTGTTAATAACACACTCAGTCTTTAAATACATAATACACCTACAGTGCATTGTTCACATCCAGATTCCAGCATTTTTTTTTTCTTTTAAATTCCTCAGAGTCATAGCTCTGGACAAAAGAGGAATGGCATTCAGCAGCAGCCCACAGTGTTTTTAGCAGTGACTGGAAGTGGCCTCAGTGTTTTTATTCATGTTGGAGAGATAAGACTGCAACCAACATGGCGTAGGAAGAGCAAATAGCTAAACAACAGGCGGCCCTTAATAGAGTTCTTATGAGAGCATCAGCAAATATGTGCTCCAAGCCCACTGCCTTCTACAGCAGACTGTGTGTGTGTGTGCTGGTTTGTTAGTCTTTGTGTATTTGTCTCTAAAAATTCACTTTTTTTTTTGTACCAGACCAGTAGGTTCCTGCAACTGGTTGTCTGAATTGCTGCTGCTTGTCAACACAGAAATCAGTTATTTGTTTCCCTGTGCATGTGAAAAACATGTACAGGAGCTGTCATACTGCGGTGAGGAAGAGTGAAATATAATGTGTCAGCAGCCCAGGTGCTGAGTCATTAGGTAGTCCCACTCTAATAAGTAATCTGGGTCAATCTGCACCATTTAAAAGGTTTATTAATGACCAAAGGGTGTGGGTTACCCAGCCCAGAACATTTTATCCTTCCTCAGGCGATGAGTGTGTGAGAGACAAACCAGCATGTGTTTCCAAATAATGCAGAGAGAAGAGAAAGCTCTCTTCTTAAGTCTTTCTAGATGCAGTTTCCTGAACACCTGCTCTTGCCATTGTCTTTGTTAAAATGACCACAGTGCATTTATTTCACGTTCATAATCATGTGTTAAAGCGCATAGCCACCGTTACCAGGCAGCATACTAATCAGCTTAATGAGATATTATACAATATTTTGTTGACCAAAGCAAAACTTTATTGTTTCTGAAGCTTGACCCTGTCAATTTCAGGGGAATGCAGCAACATCATTATCCTTCCTTAAGACGGTGAGTAGCATGCTAAATAAGCACAAGCTATCTAACAACAGGCACTACTCATGTATTCGTTTTAGGCTGGCGGTTCATTGGGACACTCTGTGGCCATTTTAAATGACTGGGAAGCCTCTGATACTTTGGGAACCCTTTCAATAACGCCAACTGTTGTTTTCTTCTCATCGGAAGCCATACGAGAGTGAGAGAACAGAGAGAGGGAAAAAAAGAAGGTGAACACAGAATGATATGCATCAAACATAATGTGCCTCTTAATTGAAAATTACGCCAAGACAAGTGTTGCAGCAGTGAGATAAGGGCTTGTGTTTACTGGAGTAACCCCTTGGTTTTAAGTGCTATTGTTAATATCATAATTGTAGTATTGCGGCGGCTTCATGACAATAACATTGCTCCGTTTCATTAAGGCGTGTAATTGGTGAGATTCTGATAGGATGGGACCAAGTAGCTTAATTATGTGGCGCCTTGCCGTGTTTACTGGGTAATTATTGCCTCAAAAATTGTGTTACTGTTTGAGAAAAAGTTCTGAGAGTTCCAGCTTCTCTCCCCAAGTGTGAGAGTACATGTAGTACTTCATAAATCAGAGGGAGATGAACTCGCTCTTTTTTTTCTTCACACTTGTCACTGAAGTGCAGTCATCGTTGTTAACCATTTCCTCACACCATAGTCAGATTGCTGACATACAAAGGGATACTCAAGAATGAACTGAATTAACTGCCGTATGGTGTGATTTTCTTTGCCAGACAATGCAGTATAAAATCTGAAATGTAGATCCACACAAAAGAATATATCTACAGTTTTGTTTTCCACCTCTACACCCACTTCAGCAAAAAATGAAACACCTTTGTGTTTGTGCTAATGTCTAAGACAGACTTGACGCTGTGATGCTATTTAACTTGGAAATATGACCTTCACCACACTATACAGTATTTCTAAAGGTCTAAGAGAAAAGGTCTTTATTTTTCATGAAATCTGAGAGCAGAGTGGGTGTTCTTCACAAACAGTTCTCAGACAATGGTGAAGATAGTGTGCTGTGACCTGTTCTGTTCAAATTATTGCACCTTTACTTCTATTGTTGATATTTGTTACTGTTCTGCATATCATTTTACTTTCATTTATATATTGTGCAGTATTTCCTGTTGATTGTGCACAGTGATAATACAATAAGTTTACTAATGATGCCTTAAGGCTAGAACGAGGTGTGTGTTGACTGTATACCTGCTGTTCTTTGCTTTTGAATAGTGTACTAAATACTTGTTTTGTCTCTTTTGTCCTTTAGGATGGAGGACTCTAGTTTGTGCCTTGGTGTATCCTCGGTGGTCCCGGATGCTGACACCCATCTCAGCAATGCAGTACTTAATGGCCGCTACCCAATCAGTCAGAAACTTCATCAGCTGACTGCTCAGCTGGGTCATGCCTTTCCTGAACTACAGAGTTGCCAACAGATCCCAGAGGAAAAGGCAGCCACTCCGCTGGATGAGAAAACCCACGCTGCCTTAGCTAATCAGCCAATCAGTAGTCAGATGGCCTTACTGGCCAACCAGCTTAACCGTGACATGGATGTGGGTGCCCTGAGTGGTCTCAATGGCCGTGTTGATTTGCAACAATTTCTCAATGGGCAGAACTTGGGAATCGTGACCCAGATGAATGACATAGAAGATGATGCCCGTAAGAACCGCAAATACCCCTGTCCACTATGTGGCAAGCGCTTCCGCTTTAACAGCATTCTGTCTCTTCATATGCGTACACACACTGGAGAGAAGCCCTTCAAATGCCCCTATTGTGACCATAGAGCTGCTCAAAAGGGTAACTTGAAGATCCACCTCCGCACCCATAAGCTGGGAAATCTTGGTAAGGGCCGTGGTCGTGTACGTGAGGAAAACAGACTGCTTCATGAACTTGAAGAGAGGGCCATTCTACGTGATAAGCAAATGAGGAGCAGCTTGCTGCAACCCTCTCAACCTCTTCCAGCCCACTTGGGTATTCAGAGTCACAACCAGCAACAGCCTGGCTCTGCCTGTGGCCTGCTCACTCCAACTAGTATCGGCAGCTCACCTGATGGACTGAGCCAGCCGTCTGCCTCACCTAAGCCCGCAGGTGCCAACTTGCAAGATGAGCAAGCCCTCAATCCAGCCCAAGGATTTCGGTGCACTTTTTGCAAGGGTAAATTTAAGAAGCGTGAGGAGCTAGAGCGCCACATTCGCATTCTCCACAAGCCCTACAAGTGTACCCTGTGTGAATTCGCTGCTTCCCAAGAGGAGGACCTCATCTCCCATGTGGAGAAAACTCACATCACAGCTGAATCAGCCCAGGGACAAGGCACGGGAGCTGGCAATGGAGAGAAGCCCAACAATGAATTTCGCTGTGAGGTTTGTGGCCAGGTCTTCAGTCAATCTTGGTTTTTGAAAGGCCACATGCGGAAACACAAGGACTCCTTTGAGCATTGCTGCCAGATCTGTGGACGCCGTTTCAAGGAGCCCTGGTTCCTTAAGAATCACATGAAGGTACACCTAAACAAGCTGGCCATCAAGAGCAAGCCCCCTATAGGCGGAGGAGCTGATGAAGATGGACCCTCTGTGAACAGCATGAGCAGCCTGGCTCAAGAAGCCCACGCCAATCTGTATTCACGTTACATTTCTTGTCTACAAAGTGGATTCCTCACACCCGACAAGCAAGGCCTGGCTGAACAGCAGCACCAGATGCTGGCCAAGGCTGGTATAGCTATGAAGGAGAAGGAGATGCTTGGAAGGCTCCTAAACCCAATGGCCAACATGTGCCACGGCTTAGGGGAAAATGAAAAGCGCTCACTCTTGGGTTGCCTGAACCTGGTACCCCCTCTGAAGTCAAGCTGTATGGAGCGCTTGCAAGCCGCAGCAAAGGTGGCGGAGATGGACCCCCTGAACAGCTATCAAGCCTGGCAAATTATGGCTCGTGGAATGGCTATGGAACGCTCCTTCATGCCAAAAGAGCAGCACCATGGGGGGCATGGACAAGAAGATGAACTTGCCAGTGCAGCTGGGATTGTTCTCTTTGGGAAAGACAAGCTTGAGCACCCAACCTTAGGCTCTAGTGATGGTTCCAAGCAGAAGCAACACCCTGATGTCCTTCATGGAGTGAAGACAAGTGGAGGCATGATGCCCTTGAAAGATGAGGGTCTAAGCTTTGATAGCCACCGTGAGTTCTTGCCTCACCATGGGGGTCTGGGCCTGGGCCTGGGCCAAGGGCTTGAGTACAGCCTAGCTGGCTTGAAAGAGAAAGCAACTGAGTGTCCTGACTGTGGCAGAGTTTTTAGAACCTACCACCAGATGGTGGTCCACTCCCGGGTACACAGCAAGGACCGTCGAACCCTAGAGGACAGCTCCCAGCATGGTCTGGACGAAAGGCGTGGCTCAGCTAGCGACCCTGAATCTCAGTCCATCAGCCGATCCACCACCCCAGGCTCCTCCAATGTGACAGAGGAAAGCGGTGCTGGAGGCGGACACTCCCAAACGGGCAGTGTGCAGGCATATATAAAGTATTAAAAGTATATATTTAAATAAATGCCTAAAATTAGCTTTTCGGTCAGCTGTCTGTCATTACAGTAAATTTAAATAGCAATTATCTAATGAAAGCTTTACAAAGTAGCAGAATTACAGCCCTAAGAGAGCAATTTCACAGTGGTTAGGAACAAATGAGGAAAGAACTATGCCGTATGAATTGGTGAGATGTCAGTATCAATGGGGTTCAGATCCATACATAGCACTAGCATGCTAGTTGTGTTTACCAAGAAGTCTCAGTAAGACATCGATCACCAAACATCATCATCATAGCCTATATTCTCTGTGTAAATTAAATGCTAAGGTCTTTTATAATATACGTGACAGCAGGCCTTTAAAGCTTTGAAAGTTATCTGTCGACTTTAGCAATAGTTAACAATAGACAGCTAAAGCAGTGAAGCCACCACTGAAACCAATGAAAAGGAAGTGAATGCATTTGCGCTTTGGTATTCTTGACAGTTGGTTCTTTCAGACAGAAAATGGCTGATTGTGATGTTGCTGTTAGGTGGTGGGTAGGTGATCAAAAGTGCTAGCAATGTAGCAATGCCAACGTAAATCTGAGCAGCACATTCAATGCATAACTCTGACAATTAATGTTACTGTTCAAATAGCCCTCAAACACCCTCAGAAGGAGTTAGTGTCTTTATTTACTGTGTTCTTAAACTAATTCATTAATGACATTTCCATACTTTAGCTATCCTTTGGCATCCGTTAAATTTTCCATTAACTATGAAGTTAACTATATAAAAACAACATCCATATTCCATTCTCACAATGGAAAGCCTATGTGGATGTACGGGCATGTTACGAGTGATTAAAACATCTTGCTGGAAGGGAGAGGGACAGCAAACCCCGCCCCATCTGTGGAACTCAGAGCTTGTGTGATAAAAATGTATGTTTAGTGGGATTAAGTGAAGCTGCAGCTAATGATTACAGAAGTTTTAAAGGTAACTTTCTCATTCCTTGGGGTGGTACACCACTGTTAAGCAGCCTGGCTGTTAATTAGGTCACGTCTATGTAATAATCAGTTAGCTTAAGCTAAACAAGACACTAATTAAAGATATACATATAAAGCAGGTCAAAAAAATGAACTTCATTTGCTGGGTAAAATGTGCTTTTAAGTCATCAAAAAAAGAAAAGAAAAAAAAGTGGCTTAGCTTAAGGCTCTAAGCAACTTAATTTCAACAGCAAAGAATAAATTGTTTATTTATTCCCAGTCCTTACCACCCTCATGTAGTGAGATGAGTTTGAACATGCAGTGGGCTATGTTTATTTTAATCTAAGGAATAATAACAGACAACCCCCACCCCAATTAGGAATTAATGAAAATGAGAAGAAGATAAAACCTATTTTCTTTACAGAGACTATTAAACCTAAACACTCCTCAACAGAAAGGAGGGTATGTTACGGAAGTAATTATCCAGTGAATTTTAATGCAGGAAGTTTTCTTTCTTTTGCATCTCTCTTACTACTACTTTGAGATTTAGCTCATGGCATTTTATAAACTCTTCTCAAGCTTTTGTTAGATTGGCAGGGTATTTGGAATTAAAGTGATTAGTGTTTAGTAATAAAAATGTTAAGCACTAACTGAATCATGGGATAGAGAATGAAAATACAATTTATTTATTGATTCTTTGGCACTCTCATAGCTTTTATTGTACATAAGTAGACCAGTTTTAATAAACACAAATCTGAGAAATTGGTTTTGTGATGTTTTGGCAATGTCACCATTACTTTTTTTTTTCTCTCCCTCTTTTACCATCTTACCGTTTGCATGCTCTTTTGCTATAATCTATTCTCTCTCTCTCTCTCTCTCTCTCTCTCTATATATATATATATATATTTCTCTCTCTCTCTCTCTCTATTTCTCTCTCTCTCTCTCTCTCTGTCTCTCTCTTTCTCTTTAAAAAATAAAAAAAGATAATAACTTATTAATTATATAAGTAATGATACAGATTCTCAGTTGGTTTGAAATCTCAGATATGGCCATATGTTTTGGATAATTTAATCTCGTTGAAAGTCTGAAACTCTCACCCAGATATTTTTAGCAGGCTGAAACAGGTTCCCTTGCAGAATTTCCCAAAATTGTGGCCCATCCTCTGTTCCTTATATTTTAACAAGACACCCAATGCCCACAGCAGTTTCACAGCATGATGCTAGCGCTACCATACTTCACTGTAGGTATGGCGTTTTTGAGGTGTGGGCAGTGTTACATTCATGCCACACATATTGTTTTACATTTTGGGCTAAAAATCTTAGCTTTTTTGGCAAACATCCTTTCACATGATTCTTGAATCTGACTTATTTTGTGTCCCCCTCCCAGATACAGTATGTGCCACCCAGAAGTAGCTGAGCTCATAATGTGAGTGATTGTTGAACCTACAGTATAATCAGTTTTCAGCTTCTGAACTTTGTAACCTGAAACTCTGTAGCTCTGTATACTCTTGTACAGTTTTTTTTTTAGTATCTGGGTGTTTTGATGTCACTTTTCTCATAATTTAATTAGTGATGCATATATATACAGTGGGTACGGAAAGTATTCAGACCCCCTTAAATTTTTCACTCTTTGTTATATTGCAGCAATGTCTCGCTCGTTCCTCTAACCCAAAGAGAACAGACTTCCTTTATCATGTGTCAATTTTATTTGCTTTTTACTTTACCCTCTCTTTAACATATGGCAGATTCATCTGCTGTCTCCCTTCAGCAAGCTCACCCAACCTCTAAACCACCTACCCACTGCAATTTTGAGTTAAACTTGAATTACAGTAATCAACAATAACATCTCAACTGTGAAAGAAGGTCGACACAATCGCTTTTGTCTTTGACACTGCACTTGTTAGTGTCGAGGTAGAGTGTGATCACCAGCTGAAATCCCACGTTGCTGCCCAGCTCAGTTGGAGCAGGCAGGGAGCTCTCACTGTGCAGCGGGCATAATGCCAGCCCCCCCTCTTGTCTTGAGATTGACCTTCAGGTCTCTTTGCTTGCAAGCACAGGGAGGTGCACGTGTTTATGGGGGAATGATGCCATAGTAAGGAGCAGGCAGTTTGGCAGATTCTCTGACATACTTATTTAAAAGTACGCATGCACATTCTCAGAGGGCTGCGTTTTCAGGCCATGACACAAAACATGTACTTTACAAACACTTACAAACTAAAGGTGTGATGTACAGGGTAGGAAGTGTTGCTGCACTGTCTGTTTACCTACTGGTGCTTTAATGTTTAGTGCAGCGTATCTTTATTAGCCCAGCATTGGAGAAAAGTATTTCTTCTCTCATGAAGATGATTTCAGTTCTTTTAATTAGCAAGGATAAAACAAGAAATACATGTCATGGCCTGTTTTATGTATGTATATATATATATATATATATATATATATATATATATATATACACACACATGTGTGTTTTTTTTTGTATGTATATACATACATATATACATACAAACATGCATACATATATGCATGTATGTATGGTGTTCCAGTTTAATCTTTGACACTGCACTTGTTTAAACACAGAGAGAGACAGATAAAAAGGGGGAAAAAGTTGCCTCAGAAATGTCCTCTAAAGGCCTTTCTCCTCTCCTCTCAATAATCAACCTTAAATATGCTTCTTGTGCAATATAATTTCCAGACTCTGTACATCTCTTCCACCTCTTTCCTTCTCTCTTTTTTTAGTTTATTACATTTTCCCTATTCTCTTTTATTTCTTATTACCATTACAAGATTGGCTTGACTGAGGAGGGGATCTATTGTTATTTCAGATTCCGCAGTCTGAATTGGGCTTCATAAACAAGGGGGGTTCATTCCTGATAGTGTTTCTGAATTCATTATTGTGGGACTTTGAGTGACAGCTGAGAGAGAGAGAGAGAGAGAGAGAGAGAGAGCAATGGAGCGAGAGAAAGGAAGTATTTAACAGAAGCGTACAATGAATGGCAAAACACAACACAACAAACATGCATGTGTGTGTGTGTGTGTGTGTGTGTGTGTGTTTGTACACACATACATACACACGCATCATATACATAGCTTAATAGTTACATAGCTTGACACTGAATATAGATTGACTGTAAAACAAATGCTACACTCATATACTAATACCAATACTACAAGCTGCATGTACTTTGAAACAGTTTTCACTCAGAAATAGCTTGTAAATGTAACAAATAATTACAAAGGAACAGGAAATAACAAAATTAAATGTGGAATTTTGAAGTAGAAAAACTGAAATAGTGTAAAACATACTCAAGTTGTATTTACAACTTTGAAAAAAATCATTATTTTACAGTGTGTATTTATAAAGTTAGTACACTAACATTTCTCATATCAGGCCCTGTGTGGCACCCATGCTTATTAAGGACCATACTCCTCCCTTGTTTTTATTTCAAGACATCCTTGAACATGATCCATGTACTACTAACTTGAGAAAACCACGTAAAAAAGGCATGTTGTCTTCATGAACATCCTTTTTTCTACTGCCGGATCTCTGTTGCTTAAGGCTTCAAACCTGCCTTATGTTTTTCCTCCAGTTGAGAATCCACCATGTCTAAATATTGTTAAGAGGAAGAGCATTTTAACATGGCAAGGATTATCAGTATATCCCCAGGTCTTTACAGCTTGCCGCCGTTTTGGGCGAAACACTTGCTCTATACAAATTGAAATTGGATTTGCCAATGGATGCCTTAGGTTATAAAGCATGGATATTCATCTAATTACACAATTACAAATTGGAGTAATTACATATGCAGACTTGCTGTACAATGTAATTGTGGTGTAATTAAAGTCGAAATAACCCAAACTGCTATGCAAAATGCACGACTATCCACAGAGGCACAGACCTGTTCATCCTTTCTGACCTATGGCATCAGTTTCATGCAGATGTTTATTACATTACTTGTTCAGTTTAGAGAAGGAGAAATGATACTACTCAAGTTCATTCAAATTTAGTTTTTAGTTCACAAACTATGTTTGAGTGGTCAAGAACTCCTATT